CTTACAAGGTATATATGTATAACTTAAATATGTTCTATTAAACACTGTAAATTTTAATGTCTTTCAAATATTTAAGCACTTTGTTGAACTGGCAGCTTAATAGATCCTTCAGGTTGGTAGAGAGGTTATTTTTTCTTCTTTCTTGGGTGTATGTTTTGCATTCTAACAGAATATGTTTCACAGTGATTTGGATCTTGCAGTTGTGGCAGAAAGGGATGGCTTCTTTATTTATTAAGTGAATATGGGTTGGTATAGTATGTCCTAATCGTAGTCGAGTTATTATCACTTGTTCACAACGTTTGAGTGGGAGTGGTAAGGTGGTGCCGACAGTTTCGATAACATCTTTTAATTTGTTGGATGTGGAATTCCAGTTACACTGCCATAAGTTGGTAATATGTTTTTTGATGGAGGTTTTATGGTCGTTTCTTGTTATCATGTGTGACACAGGGATGCTTTCATCTAGTGCAGCTTCATTCGCAAGTTGGTCCACTGCTTCATTTTCCTTGATTCCCACGTGTGATGGCACCCATAAAAAAGTTATTTCTATGTTTTTTGTTGATAGTAGTATGAGTTCATTTTTTATTAACATTATAATTTCATTTGATGGATACAATTGCTGTAAAGCTTTTAGTGTACTTAGTGAGTCAGATATTATAATATAATGAGGTGCGGATTTTCTTCTGCAAACTTTCAGTGCCTCTAAAATAGCCATTGCTTCTCCAGTAAATATGCTACAACTCGGAGGAAGTCGTATTTTAAAGTGGTCTGCTCCATGTATGTAAGCCGCTGCTAGTCCTGATTAAGTTTTTGATGCATCAGTGTAGATATGTTCAGAATTTGGATATAGGAATATTATTTCATGGTATGATTGATGTATTACTTTTGGGTTAGTGGATGTTTTGGGATAGCCAGTAAGGGATGTATTTACAATTGGTGGACTAGTTGACCAGGAGGGAAAGTTTTGGGTTGGATTTATGATGGCATTAAACTGCTCACAGTCGTAACCACTGAATTTGATTCTTTCATGAAAAGGGAGTATATTAATCGGTTTATTTTTGTAAGTACTAATACATTTAGGTTTGAAAATATTTGAATGCATGGGATTATGTTGATTTGATAATATAAAAGTTGCATAATTTAGTGACAGTTGTTGCCTTCGTAAGTGTAAAGGTAGTTCGTTAGCTAATACTTAAAGGCTATTTGTTGGGCTAGTTCTAAATGCGCACAGAGCAATTCTTAGTGACGTTGTTTGAATTGAGTTTAGTTTTTTTAATGTAGTTTTTTTGGCAGTACCATAACATATTGAGCCGTAGTCTAATTTGCTACGTATAAGTGATTGGTATAAGTTTAATAGGGTTCTTGTATCTGCTCCCCATGTACGGTTTGAGAGAATTTTCAGGAGATTAATTCTAGGTTGGCACTGTTTTTGTAAGGTATGTATGTGGCTTTTCCAGTTAAGGGTGCAATCTAAAGTTAAACCCAGGCAGTTTATTTCATTTGTTTCTTTTAGAGTATGTCCATTTAAAGTTAGATTAACGTTCTTTATATTTTTCCGTTTGCTGAATATTATGTACTGTGTTTTTTCAGGAGAAAAGTTAAAACTAGTTTTAAGTGACCATTTTTCCAGCGTGTGTAAGAATATCTGTATTACTTCAGCCGCACATTCCACACTTCTGCTCTTATGGTAGATAATCAAGTCGTCTGCGTATAAATTGGCTTTAATCGGTAATCTCATTTCGTCCAAGATGTTATTTATTGCAATCAGGAACAATGTTGGGCTTAAAATGGAGCCTTGCGGAATTCCATTTTCAAGAGAGCGTGGACTAGAGTTATAACCGTTAGCTCTTACTTCAATGTGCCTATTAGTTAAGAAATTTTGTATAAAAGCTAGTGTGTGACCCTCGATTTCAAATTTTTGTAGTGTTTTTAAGATGTTATATTTCCATGCAGTGTCGAAAACTTTATTATTATCAATAAAGACAGCTAGTAATTTTTGATTGTGTAGAAATGCTTCATGGATTTCAGACTCAAGCGATACTAAGTTGTCGGTAGTGGATCTGCCTTTACGAAACCCACTTTGATAGGGGGATAATAACATTGAGTTTTCTAGGTGCCATACTAGTCTGTTATTTATAATCTTTTCCATTAGTTTACACATACTACATGTCAAGGAGATTGGACGATATGACAAGGAATCGTCTTTAGGTTTGTTGGGTTTAAGAATTGGGATGATAATTGCATGGCACCATATCTTGGGAAATATATTATTGACAAATATTGAGTTAAATAGTTCTAGGAGGATAAGTTTAGCTGATTTTGGAATATTTTTCAATAAAATAGGTGGAATATCATCTGGACCGGAAGAGGTGTTTTTAAGGCAGTTTAGAGAATAATCAAATTCTTGTTGAGTTATGTTTTCATTTAGTGGCGATTTGCTGTCATGGATTGAAATTTTAAAGGATTCTTCATGATTTTTGTATTTAACGAAATTTGAGTTTAGGTTGCTATCACTAGAATTTATTTGATACACATCGGCTAATACGTTAGATATGTCTTTTTTGTCTGAAACAAGATTATTATTGTAAGAAAGAGTATTAATATTGATGTAGTTGTTTGATCCTTTAAGGTTTCGGATCTTTTTCCAGATGGTTTCGATAGGAGTTGAGGGATTTATTGAGGCAACATAATTATGCCAAGATTCTCTTTTGCTTTTTTTGATTAAATACCGAGTTTTTGCCCTAAGCTTTTTAAATTCCAGGAGATTAGCATCTGTTTTATGTTTTTTGGCAATTTGTACTTGGTATCGTAAGGTGTCGTATTTGGAGAGGTTTCGGAGGGTACGTTTGAGGAGTTAGCAGTAGTTATGATGGGACAATCTGTATCGTTATGTCCAATAGTGTTGCACTTTGAGCAGTTTAGTCCATCAATAGAGAGGAATAAACGATAAGTTTTATTGTGGAATACATTGAAGGAGTCAGGAATGGAAGTATTATCCAGGGGCGAAATAAATACTTGCCTTCTGAAGCTTAGGACGTGACTATATTAGGTTTCTGTCATACCTATTCTTAGGAACGTCATCTTGGAAACTGCAGTGATGCCTAATTTTTGTAATTCTGCTTCAATGATATTGTTTGGAATTGAAGGGCATACATTAGATATTACAAGTCGTTGTGCTGGCGTGATTAATCTTCTTATCTCTATTTCTGACTCATTTATATTAATATGTTTGTAAGAAGCAAGAAGCATATCGACTATGTTTTTGGTAGAGAGGTAGATATATATTCTGTTGTTTGGAATTCTAGATGCAAACAAGACGTTACGTGGACCAACCAGTGATCCAATTGCTACGATGTAATTGTCAATTTTGATGCCTTCGATACTCGAGAGTACTACTGCTTGGTCCTCTGTTGGGTGTTTGAACGTGTTTACTACATTGGAATAAGTATTTTTTGGCATATTTGGTGTATTTGAAGTAGAAGTAGTCATCTTTTTAATTGAAGTCATTTTTATTTTGTTTCCTGCGTTGGGGCAGGTCCGGTCCTGTCGCCGGCCAGAGAACCGGCGTGGATCAGTTCCGAACGGTTCCAAAAAACCAGTTGATAAAACCAGTAGGTTGAACTTGATTTGAATTGTATAGGTTATATTTACTATTGTAATATCTTATTTAAAGGTTTTTGGGTACTCACGTCGGGTTGATGTCGAATGGCATCAACACTACACTATTATTTATTTATAGTATTTAAGAATATCAAATTTTTGTTCCGTATTTTACATATAAAAAGTAAAAAATAACAGAGCGATTTAAAACTTGGTATAATCATGCCACTGTCAGGGCCGTCTCCATAAAGAAATATGTTGTAATAAATCATTAAGGTTATTTAAAATTATCTGATGATATTGATCGTAATTCTCTTGTGATTTTTGCACATTTGTCGAAAGTTGGGTGACTAAAATATCTTCTGAACGTCTGTCTCCGTATTTGGTTAAAAGTAGGGGCCTGATTTCGGTCCAAAGGGTTTTATAAGAAGAATTTAAATAGTCTCTGGATTCACCTTTAATTTTTGAAACAATATTTGCATTCAAAATAAGTTGTTGTGGTACAGTAAGATTTTGATTAGTAAAAAAGTTAAGTAGATTATCTACGGATTTAATGAATGTGGAGAGGTTATCTCCTGTTGTAAAATCGGGTAATGTAGAACATAAGCTAGAAATATCACTATTGTTAAGGGCCATGTTTGAACGATTACGGTTTCGAAATTTATTTCGTAAACTATTCGTCTCTTTATAAAGATCTTTAATTTCGTTACAGTTTAAATTACAATCAGCTAATAATAAATGTAAATTTTCTACAGAAGTATCAGTAAAAGTGCTGATTCAAAGAAAAAGGGAAAAACTTACAGGATGATTGTCAGTGGTGATGTTCTCTGCATTGCCTTGTGCCTTCTTCTCTTAGGTTTTTTTAGATTTTCGTCAAACAACTAAAGTTGACCGGAAAACACTAGTTTCTGGACGAAGAATCCTGTTCGCAGCACCAGAAATATTGGAAACACTTCAAAGTCACTTTTAAAAAGATTTATTTACAATTTAAAAACTAACAATAATTTTGAACTACAAAAATGTAAAACTTTCAAAATATAAATGGACGGTCAGTGTAAACGTATTTGAGGTTATATTTTTATATATTATTTGATATTTATTGTTTGCTGATTTCTTCGTCGTTACGATTTTGTTTGGAGACTATCAGTAGGTAAGTTATATTTTCTTCACACATACAATTGGGTTCACAATATATAGGCACGTAAGTGACAAAAAAACACTTAAGTTTAACTGGTACTTCTACGTACCGTTGGGACTAATTGTGTTGTTTTGATGCCACGATAGATTTTCCATATTTAGTAATTTAACTCTTTTATTTTCACAAGAATGCTTGTTAAACAACAAAATAATTGTACACAAAAATAAAGGAGCCAACTATAATGATTTTTATTTTAATGCTTAGTATGTCTGCAAACCGCAGGTTAGCAAAGAAAGTCCTGACATACGACGAGTTGGCACAACTCATTGAAAATGATGAGGATATGGATGCATTTTTACCACCGCTTGACAACAATGAAGACACTGATGTAGAATCTGAAAACGAGGAAGAATTTCCGCAAAGTCAGCTACTAGTGGAATCCAATAGAAACGTAAAATCTAACTTGAATGATGAAATCGAGAATGAAAATGATAATTGTAAAATACCTAAATTAACTGACGATATTCACGATCACAGTGTTGAAGTTCACGAATCAGGAGAAGCTGTTAATGAGCTCATACTGATTAGTGCAGAAGAACAAGTTTTGAGGCAGTGGAACAAAATTGAAAAGGCTACAGAAATTCCTACTTATGTAAAACCAAACTATGTTTGGGAAGAAAACTATTTTGAAGAGTGTCAAAATTCTCTTGATATTTTTATAAAATGGCTGGAAAATGTTCCCGTGGATATAACGTTTCAGTCTAATTTATATGCAGTACAAAAAGGAAAACGGTTAAATATAGCTAAAGAAGAATTTCTTTAGAGCATACGATAGAGCATGGAGACACTGTATTCTACAAACATTGAAAGATACTGGCATTCAAGGTAACATACTTGCATTTATAAAAAAATTTTTAAAAAACCACTCGATTCAAGTTAGAATAAATGGTGTTACAAGCTCATCTAAGATACTAGATAATGGAATTCCTCAAGGTTCGATTCTTAGTCCAACTTTATTCTTAATCGCTTTTAATAGTATTGTTGATGTAATTAAAGCGCCCATTAAAGCTAGTCTTTACGCAGATGACATTGTTATTTATACTTAATCGAATAATATAATGACAGCAACTAATATTATACAGAGTTTCCTAAATCGGCTTTGTAATTGGACGATTAAAACGGGATTTGTTTTTTCTACTGAGAAAACACGATACATTATTTTTAATAAAAATAAAACCCACCTCACAACTAATCTTACATTAAATAATTTACTTTTAGAACAGTCAAAAGAAATAAACTTTCTAGGTCTAACTTTTGAGAGAACTTTAAATTGGAATTCACACATAAATAAACTACAGCTTTCCTGCCAAAAAAGATTAAATATACTCAAAATATTATCCAACAGAATTTGGGGTGCTGATCATAAAATATTATTTAGGCTTAACAAATCGCTCATTAGAACTAAAATCGACTATGGTTGTATATGTTACGATGCTGCATGTAAAACCACTCTAAAAAAACTAAACAGTATTCAAACTACAGCTTTGAGATTAGCACTGGGAGCTTTTAAAACTAGTCCAGTTAGTAGCATGCAAGTTCTAACTGGAGAACCTCCCTTACATATAAGACGACAGCAACTATCCTTAAACTACATTGCAAAGATATCATCCCAGAAACAGCATCCTGTATTTTTCCATATCTGCAACCCTGGCCTTCCTCCTAACAATAAGACTAAAAACTCTACACCCCTCATAGAAAGAATAAACCTTACAACTTTTGATAGGAATCATTTCAATACAACACTACATATAAACGCAAACTATCCCCCATGGACAAGCCACCCATTAACTACTGATGTAACACTTACCAAGTATCCCAAATCTACTACAAATTCCACAGTAATTAAATCTCTATTCATGGAAATTCTAGACCACTATCCTAATTATTTGCAAATCTTTACCGATGCCTCTAAAACTCCCAATGGTCACGCTGCTGCCTACTACTGTAAAGAAAATTCTTATAGCATATCGATACCAACCAACTGCAGTATACTAACAGGTGAAGCTACAGCTATTTTGGAAGCCCTAATCTTCTTCGAAAAGAGTAGAACGATGAAGTGCATTATCGTAACAGACTCATTAAATGCATTACTAAAACTGAAACAAATATATACCAACAACCCTATTATACAGAGTATAAAAAACGTACTAGAAAAATTTTCATCATTAGGAAAGGAAGCGGCTTTTATTTGGGTACCATCACATATAGGTATCTACGGAAATGAAAAAGCAGATCAACTGGCTAACAAAAGTCGAATGAACTCAAACCATATTGCACAATTGAAGACATATCCGTACACCGATCTAAAAAACCTGGTTAAAATCCATTGTATTAATACTTGGCAAAATTATTGGGAAAAATTAGGTACTAAACTAAATGTAATTTGCCCAAAAATAACTGATGTTCTGGAGACTCCTTTAAACAGAAGAAACCAAGTCATTATTAATCGTCTAAGAATTGGCCATACTGCCTTAACACACAAATACTTAATAACAAAAGAACCACTACCTATCTGCTGCAGCTGCTCTAACCCACTGACTGTCAAACATATCTTGCTTGATTGTCCTCAATTCATGGAAAAAAGAAGATCCCATGGATTCACAGATGATGATCTCAAGACAGTTCTCACCAAAAAAGTTTCAACAGTGTTAAGCTATTTAAAAGACATCAATTTATTCAATTGTATTTAATGTAATATTCAATTGTACTTAATGTATCATTAAATTGTATTTAATGTAATATTTCATGTATTTGTTATAGCCACTAATAACCCTGCGCGGTTGATGTGGTTTTGTGTTTAAATAAAAAAAAAAAGAATTTCTTGCATTTTGGGAATTAATTTTTGGATGGGGTATCACACTCTGCCATCAATTCCTGATTATTGGTCAACGCAGGATGACCTTTCAGTTTCACTTGTGCCACAAACAATGCCTAGGAATAGATTCCAAGCTATTTTATCTTTTTTACATATAAACGACAATCAGGGTATACCCAAAAACAACACAGATCGATTATATAAAGTAAGACCGTTAATAAGTGCGTTAAATACTCAGTTTATAAATTATTGTAGGGAACAAGTAATGTCTCTCGATGAATCTATCGTTAAATTCAAAGGGCGCTCTGCACTAAAGCAATATAATCCGATGAAACCTATTAAAAGGGGATACAAGATATTATAGTGCTATAGTGATATAAGTGGTTTCATTAAAAAGTTTGACATTTATCAGGGAAAACATGAGAAGATTGATAACAAATACAAAGAGTATAATTTAGGAGAAAGAGTAGTACTATATTTAACAGAAGACAGGAACAAAAATAAAATCTACTTTGACAATTTTTCTACCACAGTGAATTTATTAGAGAAGTTAAAGGGAGAGAATACATTAGCCTGTGGAACGATAAGAACGAATCGCAAAAATTTACCACCTAAAATAAAAGAAGACAAAGTGCTTAAAAAGGGTTAATACAATTTTAGAATTTCTAAAACAGGGATATCATATTTCAAATGGAAAGATAATCGTGTGGTCAGTATTGCTTCAAATTTCCACGGCTCCGAAGATACCAAAGTCAAAAGAAAACAACGTGATGGTACAATAACCAAAGTAGATGCTCCTACTATTATTAAAGACTAAAATAAATCAATGGGAGGTGTAGACTACCATGATCAATTGCGACAATGCTATGGTTTAGATCGGAGGTCCAGAAAATGGTGGCAACGTATCTTTTGGGCGTGTATGGAAATTACATTCGTAAATGCGTTTGTAATTGCAAAAAAAGTGTTAGATGAACCTTCCACTAACTTATTACAGTTTCGAAGGGATCTTACCAGAAGCCTTTGCTACCTATCTACACACAGAAAAAATAAAAGAAAATCTGTTCCTTCAACAGGTACTCCATCAAAGAAACGACGTTATGATTATAGCGTGCCTTCTGGAATAAGGCTAACTCAAGTTGGAAGTCACTGGCCAAAGTTTGTGGAAAGACGCGGTAGATGCGAAGTTTGCAGCTCAAAAGCTATCCAGTCAAAACCTACTTCAACCTGTTCTTAGTGCAAAGTATTTTTGTGTATTAGTGCAAATAAGAATTGTTTTGCTGAGTACCATGGAATGGATTACTGAAAAACGTATTTTTTTTTAAATAAAAGTATTGTGCCTAAAATTTTTACTGACTACAGATTTTCCCAGCGGTACTTGTGAGTACCACCAATATATTTTTTGTAAAAATACATCTATAGACTATTTTGTGAACTCTATAATACTTTAATAATTATTTTAAAGCAGAAAACAATAAAAAACTTTTTAATATTCAAGCAGCAAGGTTCTTGGGATTTTAAGAGGTTAGAGTGCTGGTACGCTCATGTACCGCTGGTAGTGAAAGGGTTAAGAAGCTGGCGTGTCAAATAGCTCTCAGAAATTATCTATCTCATCAATGTTCTTATAATGGATACAGGTAAACAATTGCTTGAAACCCAGAAAAAATCTCAAAAACTAGAAGAAAACGATTTACTCCAGAAAATATAACCATTTTTTTTAGAAACTGCAATGGCAGACATTTATGTAAACCCTGCAAAAATTTATACCGCTAACAAAACATTTTTTACAACGGTATAGTCAAAGAATGTACGTGTGATAATACCTGGTCACTCCGTGTATTTAAATTTATATATATTTACCGGCATATTTAAAAAGTGTCACCTCAGAAATCACCTGGTAAATTGATTAGTACATATGCGATATATTTCTTTAGGCATACTTTTGCTGGTCACAAATTTATTACTAAGAGGCAAATAAAAAGAAGTAGTTACTACCCAAGAATGACCAGAAGAATCACTTCTAAAACAGTGTGCAGAAACCATTAATTAGAAAATTCCGTAGCAGTGACAAAAGTAGTAAAAGTTGAGGAAGTTAATCCAATACAAAACAGAAAAAGTCTGTAAAAATAAAATAAGAAACCAAAATCGACTAACCAGAACACGGAATCACAATAAAATTAAAAAAAAGAAAAAAGGTAATAACCAAGAGTGACGAATTTTCACTGTCTGAGACGATATAATTGTAAAGGATGATTTTGACATGAATATGGATAAAGACAAGTGGGCACATAATGATGCTTTTGTATTGTATAATATTCCGAAGATTGTCATTGCGAAGAGTGGAAAAAATAAAGTGTTTCCAGTGATCTCATGATGAGCATAGTATCATTCGTGATAAGAATAAAACGATTTTTACATACTAAAAGATAATAAAAAAAACTACGTATGTGACTTGTGTTAGATATATAATAGTTTTTGTATATTAGATAACGTATCCAAAACAAGAAGACCTAAAAGTTCGGGAATAAAAATGTACTACATTCATTATAATTATACGACGGCTCTACGACGTATACATGCCTGTAAAAGGGAAAAACGGACACATCACACCAATTTTTAAGAAGAGGCATCCAACTACGTGCAACACAATTGCTACACAGAAAA